TTTGAAGGTATATTTATGTATCTATATGTTAGTACGTTTATATATGTATTTGGTTGAATGTTGTTGTATTTTTATGTATGCATGTATATATGGGTAGTTGTTATTGTAGATATATATATATATATATATGTTTATTTGTAGATATGTATGTATGTGTGTATATATATTATGCCTGTTTGTGTATGTATATATATATGTGTGTGTGTGTTGGCACCTATTATGTATGAGTTTGTTTGTGTGTATGTAAACTTTGGTATATCATGACTGTTTTTATATATGTAAGTATGTGTGCATAAAAGTCTATGTGTATATATGTGTGTGTATTTAGGTTTATATGTATATGTGCGTGCATGTGTACTTGTTATCATAGATATGTATATGTACGTATATGTTTATGTTTATATATTTATTTGTATGTATTTCTGTATGTATATGTATGTATGAGTGTATATTTATGTGTGTTAATTTGTTTTTTGCTGCGGTTATTATATATATATATTTATATAGTATATATTTGTGGATTTTCTTTATCCTGTTTTTCTTTACCAAATATATAATGAAACTATTATCAACTTATATGATTAATATATATATTTTTTTATTGATATTTTGGTTTTAGAATTTTCGTTTTAATATATTAAATAATATTATTTTTAACCATTTTTATCTTTGTATATTTGCTCCCTTAAGTTATAATTCAATAAGTGGTTAGCATTTATTTAAGTCTGAAATATTTACTGGTTGTGATTTCTCATTGTCTATGTCATTGTCTGTGGATGTATGTATGTGTATATATTGGTGTCTATGTGTATGTAGAGTGTATTCACATTTAACTGTGTGTGTGTATAAGTGTTAGTTTCCACGTCTCCTTTTTTCATAAAGGGCTGTAGAGATGTTCATGTATCCCCCCACCTCTCCTTTTTTTTTTTTTAGTGTGTGTGTGTGTGTGTGTGTGTGTGTGTGTGTGTGTGTGTGTGTGTGCTTATGTATTATAATCTGATTGTGTTTTTGTTGTTTCACGCGTGAGTTTAAGACCATATTCACAAACTTTAAAATAAAAACGGAAAAAAAGGGAAAAAAGAAAAATATATATATACATGTATTGTCAAATGACCGGATGTATTGTAGCGTCTTGTCTTGTCGAACGTAATTTCAATGAAGAAATGAATTGAATAAACATATATATTTTTTCTTTTCTCAATAATTTTGTAGTTTTTAAACTTAATAGTGATTAAATTTGGATTTTTAAAATTGCCAGTTTTTAATTTTAATATTAAATTTTATCATATAAATTTATAATTATTAGTTAGTATAAATTATTTTTAATATTACACGTATTTAAAGATCTGAATAGCTATTATAGCAGGATTTCGTTGTCAAGCTTTTTGAATCTTTCTATACTTCGTTTTTGATTGGTTATTCTAGCTTTTGTAACAATGTTTCCGCCTAGTGTAGGATCGTTAATTAATCTGAAACTTTTAAAACCATTTATTTTCTTTTCAACATCATCACTTGATAAGACACAGAGTGTGTTGAAACAAAATGGCTATTTTTGTAGTGATTTTATAACATACTTATGTTATAATTTTTTTATAAAAAATAATTATATATATATATATATATATATACATACGTGTGTGTGTGCGTGTGTGCATTCATGTGTACACAATGATTCGCGTTTATCAACGAAGTCAATATAATCAACGTGCCGAGTTCTAATTCGAGTGATTCTATTTCAACCATATTGCACTAATGAACTCGGAAAAGACCAATTTTGTACAAGTTAATTAGAAGAACAGATCTGTGATGATTTAAACATATACCAGAATTCGTTTGTTGATGGATAAATCTTAGCAGCTTAAGATACGCAGGTGATGATGTGTTGATTGTAGATTCAGAAAGTATAGTTTAATAACGCCTAGACATGTTAGTTAATGAGAGAGAGAAAAAAAAGAGAGGGAGGGGAAATATGGTTGTCCGCAAGAGACAGCCAACAATGTCACTTAACTAATGGGGATAAACTCGGTATAGAAGTTGCATTATCTGGGAAAATGTGTCGCCGATATTCTTGCGTTCTGAAGCAAAAATGGCCCAGTGGATAAATGCGTTGGTTAGATCCAGTGACTAGAGTTGTAAATTCAAGCAGTGGTGAACCAAACTTGGAGCGTTGAGTTAAAGGGAAATAACTGAGACATCCGGAAGAGGCATGGAACGTGGAACTAGAACAATCTACCCCGGTGGATGAAATAAAGGGTTCGGTTTGAAATTCCAATCACCTGAAGAGGACCGGTGAAAAGAGTGGGCAAATCGTTGTAGATATGGTAATGAAGATAAGGAAAACAGTCCGAATAATGTAAATAATATTAGTATAATGAAAATGTCCGGCCATTGGTTTAAACGTTGCCTAGACCTCCATAGGATATAAAGGTGTAGAAAACCATGATCATTTTTTTTTTGAAGGAATTTGCACATAAAAGACGAAACTGGTTTACGGTTTGAATAGGGAGAATATGCGGTGGAGTAATGGGTAGCGGCTTACATTGAGTGATCGGAGAGCTTCGAATTTCAGTCGAATCCACTGTGCCAATATCCTGGGAAAGCTATAAATCCGCTTGTTATCCCTCAGCTATGGGTAAATAGCAGGACAGGCTGGAATCTATATGGATGACAACTGGTCTTCTTTGGCAGAAAGAAACGGCAACCTACTGCGGGGAAAAAATCTGCCTCGTTATTCATGTATCATAAGATACATGATCGCCTAACCGTATATCACGCATGCCACATAACTAACTGGATTGCCAACTCGATCTATTTGCACACTTTTTTGTATCTTTCTTTGTTTACGTGTGTTTTGCATTTTAAATACTTCAAATATGGAGTTTCTTTTGAATTCCTAAAGATTCCCTTGGCCATCCAATTATTAATCAACGATTTGCTCGGGAAAACATTCATTACAGATTTCTATGGATGAATAATGGGTAGCGGCTCGGATTGAGGAATCGGAAAATTTAGTTTGAATTTCAGTCGAATCCACTGTGCTAATGTCCTCGGAAAGCTATGAATCTGCTTCTTATCACTCAGCTATGGGTAAATAGCAGGACAGGCTGGACTCTATAGTCTTGAATAGCAACTGGTCTTCTTTAGCAGAAAGAAATGGCAACCTACTGCGGGGAAAAATCTGCATCGTCAGCGTGTCTCACGCATGCCACATAACTGACTGACTGGATTGGAAACTAGAACTATTTGCATATTTTTTGTATCTTTCTTTGTTTACGTGTGTTTTGCATTTTAAATACTTCGGAGTTTGTTTTCGTTTTGAATCCCGAAAGATTTCCTTGGTCATCCACTTATTAACCAACCATTTACACGGGAAAGAATTCATTAAAGATTTCTATGGCGCAATAATGGATAAGGGTTCGGATTGAGGAATCTGAGATCTTAGTTCGAATTTCAATCGGATCCATTATATTCGATTACGTACTATTACCCTTGGAAAAAAAGTGTGAATGCTTTTCTTTTGCACCACGACCCCGCCACAAGCTATGGGTAAATAACAGGATAGTCTGGGTTCTTTAGCCTTGGATGGTAACACGTCTAGGTGAAGTAAAACTCTGGATTCAAACCAACCAGGAGAGGATTGGGCGCCGTCAGAATATGTTGCCCAAGAACCACCACTTTCGCTGCAGCTGCACTACATGTTAGTGCCGCTAAGACACTTATGGTTCACGTGACTGAGCATGTGACTCTTTGAAGCTGTAACTGTTTTTTATTGATTGATTCGTATTCTTTGGTCTATCAGCCATTTGCAGGTTATTTAAATTTTAGATAATAATTATTTAGTCATACAAGATTTACTAATTAACCATTAGCTGGTGTGAGAAGAGATGGATTTATACGTTTTGTCATTGTGTGTAAGTGACTCTAACGAACCCAACTGGAATTGGAACTCAACTTTAAGTTTTCCGAGCCATTAGCCATTACACTAGCCACACATCCAAGCTTACAGCACCTGATATTCAGAACTATAGTTTTTTTTGTTTTGTTTTTTTTAAAGCATATCACCCCAAGCAAGGCGGTATTTCCACTAGCACGCAAGGGTTTACAGAGAGTGAGAACAACATTAAAGAGAAGTATTTCAGAAAAGGATATAAGAGAAGGAGGGGGAAGGACGAGGAACAAGATCAAGGTATCAGAAGATGTCGATTGACATTACATTTGAATATTTGAATATTATAGTTAACTGCAAAGTAAGTAAGAAGAAGAGAGTTCCACTGTCGGGACGTGTGAAATAAAAAGCTGTTTGAGTAGAAGAGACGGCTCCATTTAACCGTTTCGACAGTGAAAGGGTGGGGCCGAGATGTCAACCTAGTAGCACGCTTAAATTAATGCAGTTTGGGACCCTGTGAATGTAGTTCGTCAGAGCAGCTACCATGAAAATACTTGCAGAAAAGATAGAGGGAATCCACAGCACGTATGTGATAAAATGATTGTTGACGAGATGCCAGATCAGGACCTATCACATTGCATATCCGTCTGTGGATTTTGTCGAGGATCTCGAGATGTACAGTGGGTCCGCCAGACCCTATATGGCAGCTGTATACAATGCAAGGACGAATGGTTGATTTGTAGATTTGAAGGATGGATTCTGGCAAGAAAAAACTTTCTAGCGCGACCAGTTACTGATCAGCGTCGATGTTGCTTAACTTCAGTCATCCTACGTGAAGTCATAGTTTTGAACGTGATGTGGCTGTAAGCCATAATTTCTGAGAAAAGCTAGCTAAGAATTATTCCCCGGCAAGTCATCTCCATTTAGTGTCTATATATTCATAAGTTCTTTATTTTTTCACCTATTTACCTCTTCAGTGTTTGAACGCAGCAGCCAGTTGAAGAAAGTAATTTAAATTTGTGTACCGTAAGCGAACATAGATAATAACAATTAGAGCATCTGGTGATGAATAGAAGACGTATCAATTACAAGCCGCTATGACCCGTTATCAAACCACGAACGTGAAATAGCATCATTGGAACGAGGCTGAGACAGGAGAGGTGTTGGGTGTCCGTGAAGGAGAAGAGGGCAGAAATAATCATGAAGCAGACAAGAATGTGAGGCGAGGTACTTGTACGGTCAGGGCAAATAGAACTCCAACTTAAGAATCGATAATGGTTCAATATAACACTGAAGGTGTCTAGACACCGACAGATTGAATTCTGCCACTCACCTCGCCCCTTCATAAAGAATGAAATCGATTGCCTCTACTTAGCGTCTTCTTGGAAAATTGAAGTGAAACAGAAAGCAAAAAAGGAGTTTATGGTGAAGCTGACTGTCCGGTAGTTTTTGCCGTCAAAACAGCGACTTCCGGTTAAATATTAGACTGCAAATGACGCGTAAACATCTAAACATATTTGTATTGATTTCGTTGCTAGTTATGAAGTGATTATCTGTTTAGATCTGGCTATTGATGTCCCTTGATTTTATCCGGTGCTCTTCCGAAATATTTTTTTTTTAAGTTACAGTTATTTCGAGGCAAATGTTGCGTAGGACGAAAAAAATGTATGATAAAAATAATAGACAAACAAAATCACTCTAATCATAATGTAACATCTATTTTATCTTTATCCGCAGAATATAATAACTGTGGAATGTAACGCCAGCTCAGACAACACCCAGATCTCAGTGTATAATACCAACCCAGAATACCCACCCAACTCAGTGTATACATCCAGGCCATAGTATAATAATAATAATAATAATAATAATAATAATAATAATAATGAAAATGGTACTGGGATATTTGGCTGGCGGTCATTTAACCAAATGGACATTTACCCGAAAATGTCGTGGCGTACTTACATGTATGCCTCACTCTTTATTGTAATGTACTACATACATTTATAGTTATTTACTGCATTTACAATTTTTCATTTTTTTTGACAGGCTTTTTTAAAAATCTATTCCGTATATATTATATTTATTGTTTGATATATATATATATATATATATATATATATATATATATATATATATATGTGTGTGTGTGTGTGTGTGTGTGTGTGTGGGTGTGTGTGTGGAAATATATAGAAAATAGGAAGGAACTGGTTAGGTAAATAATCCAAAGTCCCTTAGTATTTTAGTTATTATTTTTTAAAAAATAGTGCTCGATACAAAAGTAGAGCATAAATATAATTATTTATTTAAAAATATGATTGCAACTCGCGACAAAAGTGGTCTCATGTTTCAAAACAAGAGTCGAAAACCTTCAATATAATTATTTGAATTAAATTGAGTTAAAGTAAGCTCTGTTCCATCTTCAAGCGAAATTTTTTTTTGGAATAACGTATTTCTGAAATTTACGTGTTTTAATAATTGAAATCAAATATTCCATGGTAACAGCTTTATATATACTTGTCGAGAACACAATTATACTTCGACATGAAAACAAAAGACAAAAACTAAAGATCCTTGAAGCATTATACATCAAACAGTTGAAACCCAACCTAAACAAAATCAACTATGGAATCTCTACAAATATCCTTAAATGTCTATAATTGGTAACAGAAGCCATTGGTTTATACCAACGGCTTCCCATACTTCATACTTCTCGAATTCACTCTCGTGTGGTCATGTGTGACGTCATGAGATGCGGTGCGATTTTCGCTTCTAGCGTCTTATATGCACGTGTTTATTGTTGCTTAGAAATCATCTATGGAAACATTGACAGACTATCATCACTGTCTTGTCCGTATATTGCTTAATATGTTGTAATTGACATATTTGATAATGGCTTAAGTAAGCCGAAATCTTAGATTGTATAAAAAAAATTATGGATCACTATTGTGAATTTCTTTCTTCGTTCAACGATAATGTTATTAAACTTATCAGATGTTACGAAAAAAATTTACAAAAAATAAATAGACACAACTTGTCTATATTGTTTATATTATTTAATGAAATATATATATATATATATATATATATATATATATATATATATATAAAGAAAGAACAGTAAGATATATAATCCGGTGTTCTTATAGATATTTTATTTTTACAAAATAGTGCTCGATGTAAATTTACAGTGCATTGATATTATGAATTAATTGATTTAAAATATTGTTTTTTACGCTACAGAGTTCTAACCATGTTTCATGGTTAGAACTGTGTATCGGAAAAATAACATATTTTAAATCAATTAATTTATATATATATATATATATATATATATATATATATATATATATATATATATATATATATATATATAAATAAATATTATTATTATATTAATTAATTAATTATTATTAATATAATATATAATTATTTATATATTATATGCGCGGTACTTATTAGAAAGTGCTCAATATTAGAGATAGTGCTAACATATTTGGTTGGATTGGTGCTAATTTGTGACCCTGGGTTTCACGCTTTTTCGATCGTCAGACAAACTGATTATCTTTTTTCTTAAATTTTGGAATTATGTAGGTTGCATGTATTGGTGTTAATATGGAAGTGGGAGGAAAATTTTCGTCGTGATGTCACTTCCTCTAACGCAAAATACCTGCATGCCCGTACACCCGTTGAGTTACGCAGACAAACATACACCCACGCTCGCCCACTGAGTATCATGCAAACATAAACATATCTTGTCGTCTGTAAATTATTGCATTGCCATTGTTCCCAAAACCTACTTGCTATTCTTTTACACTTACTTTCCTTACAGATCCTACTAGATTCAGAATGCCAGGGTATCTGTAGGTTGAAATGTTGCGGGAACATTCTAAATAGGAGAAAGCTTATGATCAGTTGATAAGATTTGTCGATATACACCCTTGTGCACATTAATTGAAAGAAAACGAATAATTCCGTCATTATTTACTTTTTTCGTATTTTTTCCAATGAATCATGCCCCAATGCACAAGTTAGTACAGTGTAACCCGGATATAAGACAACCCGGATATAAGAGAAACCCGGATATAAGAGAGATTTTCTCTGGTCCCAAATTAGAGCCTGTGTTAATGTATATAAATAGACCATACTCGGATATAAGAGAAACCCGCATATAAGAGACTTCTTCTCCGGTCCCGACAACTCTCTTATATCCAGGTTATACTGTAGTTGTTATTTCAACAATCGTATAATCCAGCACGATTCTGGATTTATCTGATGTGTTTTTTTTGTGTTTTTTTTTTCACAGATTACCAACACATTGGTGGTGATTTAAAAACGGAATACAAGTTAATTTAATATAATTTTACATTAAGAATTATTTGGAAATAACAATGGTGTTGCCTTAAATAAAATAATAACGGATATAACCCGGATATAAAGATTTTCTCTGGTCCCAAATTAGACCTGTGTTAATGGATATAAGATAAAAACCTGGATATAAGAGAAAGATTTTCTCTGGTCCCAAATTAGAGCCTGTGTTAATGTATATAAAATAGATCAAACCCGGATATAAAAAACCTGGATATAAGAGACTTCTTCTCCGGTCCCGACAACTCTCTTTATCCGTGTTACACTGTATTTCGTATATGTAATCCACGAATTTCTTCCTTGCACATTGTCCGCAGATTCTCAATTTGAATTTAAATCATGAGACTTTCAGGGAAAGTCTAGAGTACTTTGATTTGATCACTGATAAAGCTTGCCATTGTTTTCCTGCAGCGTTAAAATTTCCGTACGCTTCCTTGGCGTAACGTCCATCGCAAACAATGGCCGTAGGACAACTAATCGACAGTCGGGACAATAGTGTCTGGGCGTTATGAAAATCTGTTGCAATCACGGATGATGCAATATTTTTCAAGGCCAAACAAATTTTATCTTAGACCCCGAAAATAGAATCATATTACTGCACACCGCTCCAAATGACCTAATCTGAGGAAAAATAGAAATCGATTACACTCTCTCACTCCAATAGGTCTAAATCTGTACGGTGAAAGAAAGGAAATTAAAACGAGTGTTTCAATTAATTTGCACAAGGGTGATTTCTGTTTTAGTTTCCTCACTCACTGTAATTAGTAGAACAGAAGGTGATGGTCAGCATTTCGAATTTTGAAAATTGTAATTTCTTCCGAAGTGATCGTATCATTCGCTTGATATTGTTGACTATTTCAACGCAGCATATGCCTCATTAACCAAGCTGATATCCTTTCTTCATTACTGATCGAACGCTGAGTTTTCTCAAGTCACTCAGGTATTAATCTGACTCCAGAGCGGAGATGAATCTCATATATACGAAACATTATTAAGCATTTCAAGAAGAGTAGAACGATAATCCATTACACATGTTCAAATGATCTAGAAGGAATCTTAATCCTTCTAGATATGTGAAACAATGGTCGATATGTGAAACAAGTTCGACATATTGAGAAAAAAAGTAAATAGTAAATAAATTTTCAGTGGTTAGGCGTTAGAAGTATAGAGTTGAATTAAATTTAGAAAGGACCGGAAACCCAATACTAAAGAGGAAACAAAAGATAAATCTCTACGTCTGTACAAAAGGTCGGGAGAAGTGAGAACCGGGCGCTAGCGAACCTAACTTATCCTATTGAGAAAAATATAAATAGTAAATAAAATGTCAGTTTTTAGACGAAGATTTTAGAAGTATAGAATTGAATTAAATTTAAAAGGGACCGGAAACCCAATACTAAAGTGGAAACAAATGATAAAACTCTACGTCTGTTCAAAAGAACGAGGTGAGGTGTGAGCCAGGCGTAAAAAGAACCTACCATTTTCTATTGAGAAAAATAAAAATATTAAATAAAATGTCAATGTTTTCTGTTCAAAAATCCGGTGAGAAGTGTGACCCGTACTATAGACAAAAGTATCGAATCCTATATTTATATATAGATACTTGAAAAACTAAATTAATCCCATTCAGAAGTCTAGGGAATTAAACTGAAAACCTAGCATCACAAACTGCGCTTTGATAAGTCGAAACATACGACAGAACAGAGAAAACGACCAAGAAATGAAACCTGTAGAGTTACGCCATTTACGCTATGAGCAAACAATGAATAAAATTCGAAGAAAATGACTGGAGACAAAATTAGGGCTTGAAGCAATCATTCCAGTCAATTTAATGTAATAGACCAAGAAAAAAAAAATGATGATGAAAAAAAATAAAATAAAGTAGAATAAGAGAAATAATGGGACATAGAAATATTATCTAATTATTTCTCTTTCGTTGTGATTTCATATATATATATATATATATATATATATATATATATATATATATATAAGTTGTTACATACGGACAAAAATAATCAATACAAAGATGCGTATTTGTTTCACAAAAAATAGGGAAACAAACCTGCATGATTGTAGTGATTACTTGTCTGTTCGTATGTAACAATGTATAATAAATACCTATTGCTATAATTTTAGTACTGAGACCTCTTTTAAATTAATGCTATGAACGTTTGAATTTATCTTCTTTTCGTTCTCATTATATATATATATATATATATATATATATATATATATGTCTGATGATCCAAAATAGCGTGAAACCAAGGGTCACACACATCAATCCAACTAATTATGCTACCTCTATCACTGATATTGTGCACTTCCCATTAAGTACCGCGCATATATGATATTTAAATAATATATATAAAGAAATCGCATATATATATATATATATATATATATATATATATATATATATATATATATATATATGAACATTTCACATATATATATGTGTGTGTGTGTGTGTGAGCAAATATAAAAAAAAAGAAAGAACCGTCAGGTTAATAATTAGAAGTTCTTTAATATTTTGGTTTTAATTAAAAAAAACTATGCTCAATACATAAGTAGAGCGTAAATATATATATATATATATATATATATATATATATATATATATATATATATATATATAAATGACGATACAGAAGGTCTTCGAGTAGCGTCGGATCCAACGTACGGCGTTTCGAGGTTACAGAGCCCTCTCCCATACGTCATAATGCGTCCGTCTCTATATAAAGAAGACGGCGTTGTATTTATACAAGCTGTACGCCATATTCAATTGTACTACATACGCTATCTCTTGTATGCGTCTTCTTTCAAAATTTTGCCCTTTATTATAGCTCCCAATGATAAAGCAGAATCGCGACCTATTTTTATATACCTGTCATCTACCCCAATCAAGCAACAATTTACTCCTATCTCGATAGTATGCCGGATTAATCCGAGAAAGTCAAAATGGCAGCAGATGTCCAAAACGATCTCGAATTCGTCGTTAACTATAGCAAAAGAAACCCTTTTAATTTTAACACCTTCAAGAATAAACTATCCATCTGAGAGACACCTTTCTGCCTTCCAAAATTATTGCTAATGCTAACCTCCAGGAATCTGGCTCGTTACTAGTTCTCGAGGCCATGTTTTCAGTTGACCTGAAGTGGACTATATTGAATCCATTGCTAACTCAGCTTCTAAGAAATTTGATTCAGTGTGCGAGCCAATTTGTCTCTTGTATATGTTTAAGTCTACCATCGTCCATTATTAGAATATTGCTGCCACATATGTCCGTGCTACTTCCCTTCACCTCAATTATATATATATATATATATATATATATATATATATATTTAAATTTTAATATATTTAATTTTTAAATATTAATATATTTAATTTTGAAATTTTATATTTAATTTTGAAATTTTAATATATTTATTTTAAATTTTAATATATTTAATTTTTAAATTTTAATATATACCACTAATAATCTTGTAATTATAACCAGCTATACTCCTCCGGCAAAACCTTAGGTGTTTTAGCTTGTAAATGAACAAACTAATACCCAAGGGAAAAAAGGGTAAAAAAGAAAGAATTAAGAACATATACTTCCGGTGAAAATACTCGTCTAGAATCTAAGTTTAGAGTCCAAAGAAAAAAACACTCCGACATACTAAGTAACCCTAAAGAGCCAGACAAACCTATCTAGGATTCACCGACGCGGATCCTCAATTCACTCTGACGTTTAGCGTAGTTGAAACCTAGGTAGGTTTGTCTGGCTCTTTAGGTTTACTTTTATATATATATATATATATATATATATATATATATATATATATATATATATATATATATATATATATATATATCATTATGTAAGCAGTTCGCAATATATATCGCAGGACGATTTTCTGTTTTGTAAATCCTATCTCCTCAGGATCCAAACACGAATGACTTAATTTTATTTTGCCTATAAGAGAACATATTTGAAGATTGTAGTTGAAAGGGAAGCAAAAAATAGGAAGGGAGTTCATCAGGCGGGAAATGCTGAGAACAAAACTATCAGAATAGAAGTGGCGGTTCCATCTATGTAGTAAAATAGCGAGGCTTAGTTGCCAATCAAATAGCACGCTTCAATTAATGCAATCGACGCATAATGACAAAAGAACAATTGCCATGAAAATATATGCAGAAAAGAAAGAGGAAAGCCACGTCTCTTCGATGCGAAAGTAACTGCAGTTGAAATGCTTAGCCAAGATCTATTAATTTACAAACACTTTGTCAAGAATCTCGGGATATATATCCAGAACAATAGTCCAGATATGGCAGCAATATTCCCTCTATGGCCAAATGTTAGATTTATAAATGTGTAAAATAGATTCTGACAAGAAGGATTTTCTGGCAAGACACAGTGAATCAACTTTCCTCACAAATGGAAAACGTAGGCCCAAGAAGTTGAAAAGTGTTGCTCTCCTTCAGAAGCTGATTGCAGAGAGAAATGTTATCTGGGGTGATTAGATGAAAGTAATTTCTTTGTGGATGAGTTAAATTTAAAAGCCATCCCTTGCCCTAGTAAACCACTGATTGGAGGTTCTTTCGATAGATAGATAGATAGATAGATAGATAGATAGATAGATAGATAGATAAGGAATCGGCTGTGATAGATAGATAAATAGATAATGAACACACAGAGATAGATAGATAGATAGATAGATAGATAGATAGATAGATAGATAGATAGGGAGACAGACAGACAGACAGATAGATAGATAGATAGATAGATAGATAGATAGATAGGGAGACAGACAGATAGATAGATAGATAGATAGATAGATAGATAGATAGATAATAAACACACTAAATAGATAGATAGATAGATAGACTGATAGATAGATAACGATCACACTGAGATAGATAGATAGATAGATAGATAGATAATGATCCCACTGAGATAGATAGATAGATAGATAGATAGATAATGAACACACAGAGATAGATAGACTGACAGACAGACAGTTAGATAATGAATCGACAGATAGATAGATAGATAATGAATCGACTGATAGATAGATAGATAATGAACACACAGAAACAGACTGACAGATAGATAGATAGATAGATAGATAGATAGATAGATAGATAACTCATGCAATCTTCTATGTAGGTGTTTCTATTTACGTAAGTGCTTCTGCATAAATAACTCTATGCAATTAATTTGTTCGACCAATTTGTCTGGTGTTATTTAATTTAGCTCAAGTTCAAAATCATATTTCCTTCGTGCAGACATTTATTTTCTGAAATTTAATAATTCTTCAGATATTTATCTTACGTTTCTCTTTACTGAAACCCAATTACTTTGTAAATTTTCCAAACTGACAAAACCAGTTCCTCGCTCAAAATAGTGACAGGTTACTTTCATAGACACTTACAAAAAGCTTCATAAATAAAGACAAGGATAGATCACTTCGATCCCTCCACACTTTTAATTGAATTTGCCCCCAGAGTCGACATATACACGAGCGCACCCGCACACACAAACATACTGGGTGTAACAGCAAAATTGTCTAAATCATGTAACAGTTTAATTATCTATCCCACCAAATGTTTAATATCTAAAAAAACTACTAAATTAATTGAGTTTCTTTTTTCCAGGTTTTCAGATAAGACGTTTAGCCATCTTGACATCATTTTGTCGTAAGAATCACTTAGAAACCTTTTGATTTATTCAGCTAGAAAAAGGGCAGGTTAAAATCATTTTGTGTCAGACCCACAGTTTTCGCAACTGAGCAATAATTAGAAGAAAAAAGATGATTCACACCTTCAGTAATGATACCAACATCCATACTCTGATTTCCATATTCAAAGTTCTTTCAAGGACCATCATGAGAAGAGAGAATAATTTTAAATGAAAGAGAACAGTAGAGAGGAAAACTGGAAGGATCATCATTTCAACTTAGAACTAAAGAGATCAATTAGAAAAGATCCAACTTAAGCTATAAGACGTTTGGCCAGTGAAAGAAGAGTTTCAACTAGGACAGTCCAAATAACAGTGAAAAAAGTCTTGAAAACGCATCGTGTGAGTCACCTTGTTTCTCCAGGACAGAAGGTTAGAGAGGACAAAGATCATTTTGCATAAGTTGGAAAATGAGTCTGGCATAATATATATATATATATATATATATATATATATATATATATATATATATATATATATATATATTTGAACTTTATTTCATTCCTATCATTAATTAATGAACATGTCCATTTCGTTTATAATCGATTTCATCACGATTCCTCTGTTAAGCTTGAGAGTAATTATACATTCTTATTGCTCAAAGTAGAGTTCAATAGCGTTATAAAAATCTCGGAGAATTCCAGTAAGATATCTTTAATCATTTATAAGATACAAGGTTTCAACTCTTAAACAAAACTCTTGCATATATGTATAGAAAATGGATTCTGTATTTTTTAAAGACACGAATACACAAGGATTTACTGAGTGGGTAACAACACGAGAAAAAAGAGAAACTTTAGGGAGTTTGAATAATAGAAGAGTAATCATGACCGTAGATATTGATTGACATTGCATTTAAATTTTAAAGATCAAAGTTGGCTAAAAAGCATGGAGCCGGAAGGGATTTTCACAAACGCGAAAGTCCAGAAAAGAACATTTTAGCATAGAACTTTGTTTTACCGAGCCAATTCAACTGTAAATTGAAACCTAACGGCCAATTTGATACAGAAATTCAGAAAGTCTAGGTATCCTAGCGAAGAGTCCATCCGAACCAATTTCTAGAAAAGGGACAATGAAGCTACATTACGGCAGTGGGGAAGTGAATGAAGCCGAGATGCCAGGTCAAGAACAATAATATTGCTGATTCTTCTTTGGATTTTATCAAGAGTCCCTGAATATACACCTGGAGCACCGGACCAGATGTGACAGCAGGAATGACAGAACTAACTTCAGCTCGGAAGTAATTTCATATCTAAACTAATTTCAACTGGGAACTAATTTCAACTCGATTTAAAGACCTTAACCCTAACCCTTAGTTCCGAGGTAAAATTTGTTCTGAGTTGAAATTAGTTCCGAGGTGAAATTTGTTCTGAGTTTAAATGAGTTTCGAGTTGAAATTAATTCCGTGGTGAAATTGATTCCGAGTTGAAATTAATTCCGAGTTTAAATTAGTTCCGAGTTGAAATTAATTCCGAGTTGAAATTAATTCCGAGTTGAAATTAATTCCGAGTTGAAATTAATTCCGAGTTGAAATGAATTCCGATTTGAAATTAATTCCGAGTTGAAATTAATTCTTAACCGCAACAGTCAGTATTCAAACCACGGACGAGTGGTAGACATATAAATAATCAACACAAAGTCCGGAGAGAAAAATTATAGAAAATTAGAAAGAGATGTTAAACAAGGACGTGTCTTCTAGTCGTACTTATTTAATCTTTACAATGAGCGATTCTGAGAGAATTGGGCTGTTGTTATTACAAATCTTAAAAACAGATGTAACAGCTATCTTTTTTTATTTCCCTTATTTACCGTATTTCCCCAAGTATAATACGCTGTCGTCTATAATACGCACCCCTAAAATTGTACTGAAAATGTGGGAAAATTTTTCTACACACGCATAATACGCACTCCTTCGGCGGTAATCAAACCCTGTAAATTGCACTTCTCCAATTTAATTACGGCTAGCTTTTCCTACTTTTATTCAAGCTGTAATTGAAGATATTTTCATAGTTCGTCGATAGCCGTAAGTTTTTCACAAAAAATGTTTTAAAATATAGAATAATATTATTCTAATTTAGTTTTATCATAATTCTTTTTTTTTTTTACGTTTCTAAGTATTTTTAGATATATATCATTGTATTTGACATCCTTATGGGGTTGCAATCGCCGAATGTTAGTGTCAAATTATCGTATGTTTATGGTGAGTAGTCATTTCGCAACAGAAATCGATGTATGAAACGGCAATATTTTGAAGATTCTTTGTAGCTGTGTATAATACGCACTCCTAATGTTGCTTATTATATTTTCGAAAAAAAAATGCGTATTATACATGGCGAATTCCGGTAATTTTTATATATATTTTCCGCATTTTTTTTCGGAAGGAAACATGTGGCTGAATAGTAAATGCTGAGTTTCAAGTAATTAGGGTAGGAATATTTGCCAGTCGAGGTAAAGTAATAGAAGCAGGAATCTAATTCTTTCTTATTTGTTTGCTAAGAGACGAAGCAGGACAGTAGGATAATGTCAAATAATGGCGGGTTATCGTTTATTGCGTCGTTACGCGATGATTGGCAGTTCGAATTTGTAAATTTAACAGTGAAGGGCTTGGAGGACAGAGTAAAAGTTTTCAAGCAAGCGGAAAGAAAGAGAACGGTTTTGATTAAACGATGTTAATCAGTGATAACGAACGCGTGAAAAGCGGAAATAGATGGGAAGGGGGGAACTACAGGAACATCAGAAATTGAAGAATTAGTAGAGAAGCAAAATAGAAGCGCTTATTGATGAAGATGAGAAGGAAGAGCATGAACGTGAAAGTGTACCAATAAAAAAGGATGATGGTAAATTGTTCAGATGAAATAAGAAAGCAAGAAGAAGGAGAAAAGGAAGGAAAATGATGAAGGCGACAACAATTAAGAAGGTAGGAAGAAGAAGAAGAAGAAGAAGGAGGAGAAGAAGAAGTAGAAGGAGGAAGAGGAGGAGAAGGAGAAGAAGGAGAAAAAAAGAAAAAATGATGAAGACGACAACAATGATGAAGGTAAGAAGAAGAAGAAGAAGAAGAAGAAGAAGTAGAAGTAGGAGGAGGAGGAGAAGAAGAAGAAGGAGAAAAAGAAGGAAAAATAATAAAGACGACAACAATGAAGAAGGTAGAAAGAAGAAGAAGAAGAAGAAGAAGAAGAAGAAGAAGAAATCCATGATGAATACGGAGACGAGAAGAAGAAGAAGAAGAAGAAGAAGAAGAAGAAGAAGTAGAAGGAGGAGGAGGAGGAGAAGAAGAAGAAGGAGAAAAAGAAGGAAAAATAATAAAGACGACAACAATGAAGAAGGTAGAAAGAAGAAGAAGAAGAAGAAGAAATCCATGATGAATACGGAGACGAGAAGAAGAAGAAGAAGAAGAAGAAGTAGAAGGAGGAGAGGAGGAGAAGAAGAAGGAGAAAAAGAAGGAAAAATAATAAAGACGACAACAATGAAGAAGGTAGAAAGAAGAAGAAGAAGAAGAAATCCATGATGAATACGGAGACGAGAAGAAGAAGAAGAAGAAGAAGAAGAAGAAGAAGGAGGAGGAGGAGGAGGAGAAGAAGGAGAAGGAAAAGAAGGAAAATAATAAAGACGACAACAATGAAGAAGGTAGAAAGAAGAAGAAGAAGAAGAAACCATGATGAATACGGAGACGAGAAGAAGAAGAAGAAGAAGAAGAAGAAGAAGTAGAAGGAGGAGGAGGAGGAGAAGAAGAAGAAGAAGGAGAAAAAGAAGGAAAAATAATAAAGACGACAACAATGAAGAAGGTAGAAAGAAGAAGAAGAAGAAGAAGAAGAAGAAGAAGAAACCATGATGAATACGGAGACGAGAAGAAGAAGAAGAAGAAGAAGAAGAAGAAGAAATGAAGTAGAAGAATAAGAATGAGAAGAAGAAGAAGAAGAAGAAATCCATGATGAATACGGAGACGTTAAGAAGAAGAAGAAGAAGAAGTAGAAGGAGGAGGAGGAGGAGAAGAAGAAGAAGGAGAAAAAGAAGGAAAAATAATAAAGACGACAACAATGAAGAAGGTAGAAAGAAGAAGAAGAAGAAGAAGAAGAAGAAGAAGAAGAAATCCATGATGAATACGGAGACGAGAAGAAGAAGAAGAAGAAGAAGAAGAAGAAGGAGAAAGAGGCCGGGAAGATGATAGAGAGTGAAAGACGACAACAATAAAATTCATGAGGATGAGTGGCGGGGAGGAAAAATTGCTGGAAGGAACGTAAAAGGGATAATGATGATGAAGAATAAAACATAGAAGAAAAAACACTGGTAAAGACAGAAACAAGAAAAAAAAAGAAGAGGAAGAAGTAAACAAGAAGACAAAGAAGGAGAACAAGAACAACAAACAGACGAAGAAGAAGAAGAAGAAGAAAATGGGAAGAAGAAGAAGAAGAAACTAGAAGGACAACAAAAAGAAGAACAAGAAGAGGATGAAGTAAACAAGA